GAATACTTATTTATTAAATAATATTACGTTTTGATGAAGATATAAATTTTTAAATTTTTAAATTTAAAATTTAAAATCTGAAAATCAAATGACTGTATTATTATATAATTATTTTGATAATTAATTATTAAATATTAATAAACTTTTTTTTATATGAAAGCCTATGATATAAGCTTCAAAATGAATACTCATTTATTAAATAATATTATGTATTGATTAATATATAACTATTTTAATCTTTTTAAAATTTAATACTCAGAAATTTAAACCAATAAAAAAATCACATTATTAATCAATATCATATGATATAAAATTTAAGGTTATATTTTTAGGGTAATAAAATTATATCTTAAATTTTGATTTACCTTCAAAAATAATTATCCATATAGGAAAACCAGTGAACCTATTATGAAAAATAAGGTTTTTACAATTTGCCCCTGTAAATATTAAACCACTATCTACTGTGTTATATATCTACAGGTCTTTTGTTAATAAATTGTTTAACAAATGTTTTTCAATTTTTGTAATATGAAAAACATTGATAGATTTAAATAATTTTTCTAGGTAATTTGTGTTAACAGTTAGATTCAATACCAAAAATTATTTTATATCAGTAAGCTAAAGATATTGTATATATTGATATTGTGTTTTATAATTTGTTGGTTTTGGAAGATTTAGAGAGGTTAGTAGTTAAATTTTTGAATTATAAGAATTTTTAGTTATTGATTGATCTGATGATGAAATTTATTAGTGAGTATTATAAGTTGAATATAAGAACTAATCCAAAAAAACTTACTTCAAACATTTATGAGCCATAGGAATTGTCTTAATATATTTTGATAATTCGTCTCCAACATTGGTACCACTTTTGAGAATACACGATCGACAAGTAGTTAGTTGATTTTCTTCTTTACGTTCTATGAAGTTATTGAAACCTTATTGTCATTATCCTTTCTTATAAAAAATTCTGATTTCGTTTATATCCTCTTCCTGATCTTCTTCTTCACTTATATCTAAGTTGATATTTTTTGCCTCCCGTAATAAAAATTTCACAATAGTTTAATATTTATGACAAGCCCTTTAGTTATTTCTGAAGAGTAATAGCCTTACCTTGTTTAGTGACAGCGTGTTTATTTCTTGATGAATATTAAGATTGATACTACGTGCATTAACACGAACAAGAATCTACGTGATGCAGAATCTTATCAATACTAGGTCAACTATCTAAAAAACTAGAAACCGAACATACTGCTTTTTCTGTTGCATCCAGGATTCTCAGTCTCCCATAATCTTTTTTTCCTATCGAAAAGAAGTCTAGTATTATATTTTTAAAAAATATTTATTAAGTAACTTACATCTACCCAGTTTCACCCAGAAGCTTTAATTCGATGTGTTGAAAATATATATTGAAAAAACACAAGCGGAGTTAGATCGGGACAAGTTAACATCCAGTCAATGTGACGTTCTTTTAATGTTATGTTAGCATTTCCTTTTCCCATGGTAAGCTTACAAAATAGAAAAAATAAATATCTTGCTGAACGAAGTAAATGCAGTAAACAGTAAAATTAGTTGCTCTTCAAAATAAGGCCGGCCACCTCTACACGATGACTTGCCATTACCGGCTTCCGACAGTCTTCCTCTGTCGCAGACGCCTTATATTGATTAGCAACTTAATAACTTCTGAACAATTAGATTAACCGGCCATCCCTACACGATGACTTGCCATTACTGGCTTCCGACAGTCTTCCGACAGTCTTCCTCTGTCGCAGACGCATCTTTATTGCTTAACAGTAGCTATTTTTTTCTGTTGCAGGCACTAACTAAGCGAAAACTTCAACCCACCTAATTGATATGTTGTTCGAAAGACGAGATAACGCGTTATTGATTGATTTATTTCACAGGCAAACAGAGTAAATATCTAGATCATGGAATGCTAATGATTCGTAACCACTGACGATCAACGATCGGCGATATGATAAATTATGTGATAAATAGCTTTATCCAGAATTTTATTGTATGTGTTTAAAATATTCGCTATATTGTATATAAGCTATCATATTTTTTTACCCGATTGCTAATTCTATTAATATTATAAACATTGCATTTTTTATAATAATGATTATGAATAACGGGGGTTTTTTTTTGAAAAATCAATGCTTTCTTGATCAATATTATATTTTTTAACAATTTTTTGTTATATAATTCTGATGCTTGTACGAATTTTTTATGTACCTAAAATTAAATTATAAAAATTAAATATAAAATAAATAAATAATAAATATTTTAAATAAATTATCATATTATTTGATTTGGCATTATTTGAATTTATTTTATCATTGTTCGAAGTAGAATTTGATTTCTAAAAAATATTAATAAATTAATTTAATAATAATTATTACATATAAATTAAATAATAATAATAAACACATATATTATTATCAATTAATTTTTGAATTATGGAAGTAATAATTTTTTTTTCAACTTTTAAATAGTTTTCAACACTCAATAATTAAATATTCTAAATATTGCCATTGTTTTAATTTCTTCATTTCTAGTATTAAAAATTAATTATATATATGCATCTCTTTCAGAAAAATTAGAAATATTTTGTTTAATACAATTAATTTCACAAGTATTACATATTTCTTTAAAAAGGTCCTGAATTAATTTTTTACCTAATGCATAATTATTATATTATTCATTATTTAAAATAACAAAATTTTATATTAATTAAATATTATAAATATAATAAAGAAATAAATATATTAATCAATTTTACTTTTAAAAATACACAAATAAAATTTTTTTGTTTTATATTCTATTGGCTTTACTGAAAAATATTTTTTAATATCAATATTTGATATTATATATATTGATTTTCTCAATTCTATTTTAATGATTTTTTGATAAAATTTTTAAAATAATGATTCATTATCTATATTGATAAATTTTTCAACTAATAAATTTTGATATTTACTCTTTTATAATTAAAAAAAAACATAACAAAAAAGACCAGTTAAATTTTTTGCAAATATTTTATTATAATAAAATAATTTTTAATTCTTTATTAACTATTTTATTATAAGATTTAATAATACTAATTTTCAATTTTTTTATTTCTTTTAAAATTTTATTCAGAGTTAAATTAATTAATAATTAAATTATTTTTGTTAAATAAATTTAATTTTTTAATTTGATTTATATTTATATAAATATTATTTAATTAAAGTTAATATATTTTTTAATAATATTTATAAATATTATTATTTTTTTGTTATATGAATTTTATAAATAAATTCATTAATTTTTTTCTTAATTTGTAATATTAAAATAAGTAATTTAAAATAATAATTATATTCAATATAATTATATTAAATATTTATTTATTTATTATTATTTTTTAAGATAAAAAATATTATAATGTATGGTTTTTATTAATTATTTAATTATAATTTCACATTTTATAATTTCTTTTTTATAGGTTTAATTCATATTTAAAACTTTTAATCTAATTATATCAACTTATATCAAATAGATGTACTAATATACTAGATAAAATTATTAGAAAATAGAAATCATATCTTTAGTTTAAACTATCTAACTTAAGTAATTCAATTATATTAAGATATTATTTTTATTAAGAATACATATTAATACTTGATATATTATCTTATTACATCTTATTTTTGATTTATGCAGCTTATAGTTATAGAAAGCATCTATTATATATATGTACTTTCTAATAAATACTTTAAAATTTTTTAATTAACACAAACTATCAAATTTAAGAATCATATAATCAAGTGAAATATAATTTCAAATTTTTTTTAATAAATATTTTAAAAAGATTTGGTTAGCTTAAATTATCAAATCTAAAAATATAATTGTTAAGTAGAACATAATTTTTATATATAGATAATGTAAACTGTTATAAAAATAACTATATTATTAATATTCATATTAATAATCTCTTCAAAGTTAATTTATCTTTTATTAATATATTGTACTACAAAAGTCTATTGTGCTAATTGAAATTAATAACCATAGTTTTGTTTATATTGAAAGTCTAATAATAAATATGATATAATTATTTTTTGCTTATATTTTGAAAGTAAAAAGTTGACTATAGCTTTTGAAATTAAAAGTAGTAAATAGTTTGTACCTATTAATAAAAGTATCTAAGAATAAGTTTCTATTAAAAAAATTTTATTTTCTTTTATAAAAGAAAACCATTTCTAATATATTTAGAAATAATATAATAAAGTAATATAGTAAAAATAAGCAATTGTAATTCTAGAGAGCAGAAATTCTAAGGAGAAAAAATAAATTGCTTAAAAAAAAATGATAAATAAAGAAGTAATAAAAAAATATATTGTTTTTAAGACTGAGATTATCAACCAAATACAAGATTTTGTATAAAAAAAGTTGATTACTTAGACTTTTTTAGTTTTAGTTTCATATTGCTATTATATACAAGTTATTAGTTTGCATATATTTTTCTAAGCCAAAGTACTTCTTTGTATTTGCCTGCTAGTACTATATATATATCATATATATTTCTTAAAGAATAATACTCAACAGTTAAAAAAGTTACATGTAGTATTAATATATTTTAAACTTGTCTTATTATAGAATTTCATCTTGAATAGAAAAAAAAAGAAAAAAAAGAAAAAAATTTCTAAAAATGAAAACTTTTAATAAGAGGAATAAGCAAAAACAAGTTTTTTTATACTTTATATTAAGTATTTATTTATTTTTTTTTATAGTGAAATGTACGCATGGTATACATCTTTATTAATATGATTTTTATATTATTATTATCACCAGCAAGTCTGTTACTAAAACAGTTCATTCTTCATATAACGATAATCTGAATACTTAAATTTCAGTACTAAATAAGATAAGATTTTAATTCCAATGTGGATTACAATTTGACCGATCTTTGTATACTGGTTAATCCCTTCTTGACCATCTTTTCTTAGGCACATCTTAAGATTACAAATGTCACTCTCTTATGGTGCACAATGATAATATCACATCACTCTTTTTTAAAGATTGCTTTACTATAGTGGTGTAGACTTAGTTTATACTGTTGGCGTGAAAATCCAGCGAGTCTGTCGCTTGAGCGCACCTCCCGTTGTGTAACAATGAAGCGCGTCTTCTACTCGAAAGAGGTGTGTGTATTTGGTCCGAGCCGTTGGGTAGTACTACAGATCAATCAGTAGATCCGGGGATCTAAGGGGTTGCTACTCATGTAGCAATTTTTGTAGTGTAGTGTGTGTGGGTCAGGTAGGGATCAAAGTTTTAAACCGAAAACTGACTGATCTGCAAATCGGTTTCGGTTCGGATCAGTTCAGTTTTTAAAATTTTTAAACCAATAAAAATCGGTTCGGATCGGTTTTAAATTTCTATAAACCAATCGGTTCAGATCAGTTCAGTTTCAGTTCAAATTAAAACCGATTTTGATTTTTTATATTTTATATTTAAATAGAAACAAAAATAGAAAAATTAAATTAAAATGAAATATATAAAGTAATAAAATAAAATGATCAAAAATTTTTATAGCTTGACTTTGCTTCATATTTTCACAATGTAGGATTATAAATAAAAACTTTTTAATGATTTTACTTTTGCTGTTTTTATCATTTCTTTATATTTCAGCAAGTTTGTTTAATACTAATATTTTTTTTATTCTGACAGTTATTGTTTGACTTCTTATCAATAACTTTTTTAACAATTTTTTTAAAATGAAACATGAAAATTTTTCTGACAGTTTTAATTTTCAACATATTAATGATGAAACTAGTAGCTTAATTAGTTATAAAAACAGCAATACCAGTAATATTATTACAAGTAATTTATCAGAAACAGTATTATATTCTACAATAATAAACTGAAGCAAAATATGAAGCCATTTTATAAAAGATTTGGATTTTAAAAATACTAAAAACGCAACTTGTAACTATTGCAATACTATATACAGTATGTTTGTAGTGAAAGCAGTATTACTAATATACAGTATATAAACATCTTGAAAGATATCATATAGCAAAATTAGATTGAAACATTAACAGACCAAGTATCAAAAATTATTTTAATAAAGCAAAGATAATAAATTTTATTTATATTAAATACCAAGTTTATTATTTAATTTATTTAATATTTTAATATTTAGTGAATATATGACCATAAAAAAATGGAAAAAAAAATTAATTTAATGGATTGTTATTAAACAACATTCTTTTACAATCGTATAAGAACCAACTTTTTAAAATTTTATAGAGACTTTATTGGAAAATATAAAATTACCTTCTTCAACTACTATTAAAACAAATATAATGAAATTTTATCTGGCCAATCAAAAAAAAATACAGAAATTATTACAAGAAGCAAAAAATCGAATCTCATTTACTTTTGATATTTGGACTTCAGTATTAATGAAAGCTTTTTTGACCATTTCTGTATATTTTATCAATAAAAATTGGAAAATGTAATCAATAATAATTAATTTTGTGTAAAAAAAAAAACTCTTTTCCACAATACCTCTATCCGTAGAAAATTGCCTTTTTAGAAAACTTCTTTCTTCCAAGAAACTTTGTCTAGTGAAATATGTCTTTTTGAAAGGGGATATAGACTGGAAGACTGATTTAGAGCAGTGTGGTTTCAAGGATAAGATTGGTTCTTGGGGTTTCCAGCAATGGAGCCCGCACTAAGAGGTCTAGTGACTGATAATGGCATTGGGCAATAACTTGGAACAGAGAAGACGAATAAAAAG